TCTTTCCAAAAAAAACAAAACAAAAAAAACCAAACCCCACCTACATTTGCCAGAATTCCCCAGAAAACTCATATACGAAGGTGCATAAACATAATATTAGCAGGCAGATAGGCCTCCGAGCTAGGCCTGATGAATATTCTTATGAGGATGAGGATGTTTAATTGCAAACTGAAGGCAAAAGCAAAACCCTGCCAGGAGAAACGCACCAGGTGGTCCTGCCCGATTTCGCCCTTCTCACACCTACCCTGCAGGGCCGAGCCAAAACGGGGCAGGTTTGGAAACAACGAGCTTTGAAGTCCTACACCGCAGGGGCGTAGGGAGGACAGAAGGCTAAGCCGCACCCAAGACGTCGGCCAGACCGCCCCTAAAAAAACCTCTGGTCTGTATTCGAAATCTCACACCACTGGGTTTCTGAGGCTGTTCTTGCAGTTTTGAGGACTTGAAACCCCTGTTGTTTTTCATTCCTTCCACTCTTCGCTGCTAAATGAAAGTGAGGTTCCCGGGGTCCCACCTCCCCATTACGCTGCACCCAGTGCAGACGGTGGGCACCACAGCTTGGTCGACCCAATGGGGCTGTCGTAAAGCCAAAGTCCTGCCCTGTCTTGGCACAAAGAAGGATCTCTGGAAAGCAAAGGTCGCTTAGCCACAATGCTAGTCCTCATTGCGGGGGCCACAAACGCCCCTTGGCCACGGCCCCTGAATGGACCAGAGTGGCAAACATCACTTTACTCTAAATTCGGCTCCGCTGCTTTCCACTCGGCCATAAAAACTCCCTCGTTTGACCTCAGATAGTTTCTCTTAGACTTATCCATCCTACAGGGGTGTTGTGAAAACCAAGTGAACATATTTCAAAATGCAGAAGTACTGGACAACACCAGCGATCATTATGTTAGGCTGCACAGGGACGCCATTGAAATCCAAAAACACCAGCAGAGCTTTAACAAAAAAGAAGGAACTTTAAAACTCAACAAGGCCTGGCTCCCAGCACTGAAAAATACAGCCTGCAAAAGGTCAACGAACTCTACCCAGCCACAAGGACCAGCGATCACTGCACACAAAAGACCAGCTAATGACACCCATCAATCACAGTGACAGATCATCTCTCCTCCTTATCACAACAAGACACCACAACAACCCCCCCCCCGGATCACCACAATCACCCAATCTCCTGAAAAGGACAAAAGTAGATCCCGCAGCTCTAAATACTCAGCTATCCAAACAAACTGCACCAGAGCACAGACAGAGTTCTGACTCCCATCCTCTGCAGACGCTGGCTACAGAGATTGGCGAAACTTTCTGAACATGGCCAAATGGCCCAAAAAACCCACAACCATCGTCATAAACAGACTGCATTGGACTGAAACACTTGGAAATATAGGTTTAACCCTCCGGCCACCTCCAGCTACCAATGTAGGTCACTGGGGTGGCCATGGGCCAGGCGGATTCCTATAGATGATGGACCTTTCAGGGGGAGGAGCAGTGGGGATGAGGCGACTCCCTCCCCGAAAATCAGGGGGGGGCTGCCAAGGGGCCCTTGGGCAGCGTTTTTGGCTGCAGGAAAAGGCTGATCGGGAGGTCTCCTCAAGAGGAAGGCTCTCCCTCCCTGTGGAAGCTACAGGGCCCAATCCTGCAGCTGGCATGCCTTAAACTGGCTAAAAAGCCTCCAGCTGACCTCTAGATGGGGGTTCCAGAGGCTCAGTTTGCAGAGACCGGCGTCTGGGATTGGGGCCTCCCTCGAGAGAAGTCCTTTGCTCCCTTCCAGACTTCCATTCTTTACTCTCCTTTCTAGGCCTCTCCCAGTTTTGATCCCTGCTCTCTACGGACTGACCAGCTGGACACAGGACGGCCCGCGCCTGCCTCCGATTTCCCAGAAGACTTCATTTTGCCTCTCGACCTGGATTCTGGACTCCCCTGCCTGACCAGTGCCTCAGCCAACCGAGATCAGCCCCTCTCCCCTCCCCCCCAGGAACAGGAGACGGGGACCCCTCAGGCAAGTGTCAATTTCCCTTCCTCTGTTTCCACCTGGGCTACCTCGCAGGGTGGTTGTGAGAATGCTGGAGGAAGGAGGAAAACCATAGCCTTGGGCTCAGTGAGAAAAATGGTCGGAGAGGAACACAGCGAATAAGTAAATAAAAAGAATTAAAGGACTCGGGCTCACCGAGGTTCAGGGCGTGTAGATCCCATGAACTGCCATGACCACCAGAGGAGAAGTGGGTGACAAAGCCCATCAGCCACTCACACACAGCCCACCCGAAGCAAAATCAAGTTCAGCATCGGGCACTACCGTTTGTAGAGACGTGGGACTACAAATCCCCCAGGCAGCTCTTCCAGAAGTATGGGCATTGTAGCCCTCAAAATTCAAACCTGCGCGTGTGCGCACACACACACACACACACCCCTTGGCTCACACAAGCTCTGGCTTTTGGGCAACCCACCCCTTCTTGTCGTCAGCCCTCCTCAAGAACAGAGGGCCCCAAAATTAAAAAGGCCGGTATGTTAAAGGGGGTGGGGGAGCAAGCAATCTCTAGCAAGCGAGCCAAGCTGCATGCTTCAAAGGGGACGGCAGAAAGATTATTGCACGCGGGCAGGTATGGGAGGTAAAAAGGACCAACCTTGAAATAGGAAAAGGGAATTCAAGAAGGTGGCTGCAGGCCCCCAACGAGGGTCTTTGGCCAAATCTAGGTGGTTTGGCTGGGTACCAGAGCGCTGCCTGCTCCTGTTCCTAGCCAAAGAGCCTAGATTTTGGGGGACGCCTCCCTCCCTATACAAGGCGCAGGCACCCGCTTAGGGGTCTGCTTCCCGGTGGATGAGGCCCAGTCGGGTGGCGGCCGAGCTTCCAGGCTGAAGGAGGGTGGCCACCGGCCAGGGGCAGGCACGGAGGCCCCTGAGTGCCGTGGGAGACCCCGAGAGGGGGGAGTCTGCGTGGAAAGTGGCGCCATGGCCCTGGAGCGGGGCCCGGCTTGGTGGTGGCAAAGCCGGGGATGATGCCCAGGCGGACCCCTCTCCAGCCTGGCGACGCCGAGGCGCCCGGCCGCCCAGCAGAGCGCATCCCTGGCTCTCCAAATGCGCCCCCGAGGCGGCGCCTCGCTTCTCCTCCCGGGGAGGGGGCGCCCAAGCCCCCCCTTCTCTTCTCCTTCCTCCTCCTCCTCCCGGCCTTACCGGCAGGTGTAGCTGAGGTTGCGGCGGATGCTGCGCTTGAAGAAGCTCTTGCAGCCTTCGCAGGTGAAGACGCCGTAGTGCTTCCCGCTCGACTTGTCCCCGCAAACCACGCAGTCCACCTGCAGGCCGGGCTTGTCCTCGTCGCCGGGCTCCGGGTCGCTGGCGCCGCCCTGCGGGGAGGCCGAGTCGTCCTCCGAGGTGCGCGGGTAGCCCTTCTCCAGGCCGCCCCCGCCGCCATTGGCCTCGCCGGGGCC